TTTTTTTGTAAGTTGGGTTCAGATTCTTTTCTTTTGTAGGTTGTTTCAGTTTTGTTGCTTCAGAGTCTTCTTTTTTTGTAGGTCAGTTTTGGATTTATTTTGTTGTTTTGGTTTCTTTTTCATCAAATGCTTCATAATTCTTTTCATTTATGTAGGTCAGACATTCTGGAGTTCTCTTTTTTTTTTGTAGAAATGCTGACCTTTGGTGACTTGGACGATTGCAGATACTATATGAAGGGGGGTTTTGTTTCCAATTAAGTTAGACGTTCTTATGTTTCTTTTTTTTTGTTTTTTTTAGGTTGTTTGACTCCAAATGAACCTGAAATTATAGATAATTTTGGTTGCAATAGGTGGTTTTAATAAGGAGGGAATTTTCATAATGTATTTGTATTTTGTTTATTTTTTATTTTTTATTTAATTTAATAAAGTAAATACAAATAGTAAATTCAGTGACCAAATCGTATAAATTTCGTGATAAAATCAGTGATCAAATCATGTAAATTCCATATGAATTCCGTGCAAATTCCGTATCCAAACCATATATTTAGTGATAAAAAATTGTGCATTTTTCCGTATCCTATTATGATACGTTATTTCTAAGGAAAAAAATCGTATAAAAACTTTATAAAAAACGTATCCAATTTTTTTATAGGGATGGAATAAAGAAACGAAATAAGGTTAGTGTGGTGGAATAAGGAGTAAAAAACAAAAATCAAAACCAAACCTTAAAAACATACCTTTATTGTAGCATCAGAAAAAAGAAACTCCTAATTTCTCAGTTCTCAAAATCAAGAAAATAATGAAACATAGTAAATGTTTCATTAAAAAATCAAAAATAAAACCACTTTTTTGAATATTACCTTTCCAACCCCAGCACCCAACTACCTGAAACCTAAAAAAAAATATATTGGCAAAACGCTTTGTTAAAGAAATCCAAAAAAAAATTTGAATATTACCTTTCAAGCCCAGTGTTCAACTACCCGAAATCTAAAAAAATTAGCAAAACGTTAGTAGACATTTTGCTAAAGAAACAAAGAAACAAAAGAAAAGAAATGAAATGAAGAAAACAATAAACATACCTGGTTTCTAGTAGTAAGAAGTTTTAAAAAAACAAAGGACACGACGATATGTTAAAAAAAAGATTATATATAAGCAAATAATCATATGAAGTAGCCAATCAAAATTTGTTTATTCATGTGATTTAAAGGGTCACCATAGCGACCGGGGTCGCCAACTACATTTTGCCTAAAATGTGCGGCTTGTCCTATTCCAGCTCCTTTCACAATGTCATTCGAACATCACGCCTGTATTATTCACCATAAAAAGTTAACTCTGTATTTTACGTCAAAGGACAACAATATACCTGATGCCAGTACTTGCAAAAATTTTAAAGATTTCCATGCAACTCGCCTTTATAATAGATGGGCGAAGACAAAGATACATAACAATTTCTCGAATCGATTAGGCATTTCTTTCACCACATCATACCACGTATATAACAGTAATATCATAGCCAAGAAAGGCCTTGATTTTATGTACGGCGAAACTTACCAGAATTTTAAACACACCTCTAGTTCTTCTCCAAAAGTCAGAAAAAGACAAGAGGCACGTTTAAATGCATCTATAAGGCATACTTTTCATAACACCAATTTACGTGTCGATGCTCCGATGGATGATAAACTTCGAGCTGCATGACGTTATACGCTTTTGTTTCAAGAAAATCAACAATTCACCAAACCTATCAGACATCTCCATTATAAAAAGAAATTCATCGTACCCTCCAAGGCAGTGTTGTGAAGTGATATTAAATGACACAAATGACATTAGTGACATGTCACGTATCATTATGTCATTTCAGTGAGTAAATGACAATATTATGTCATTTGAAATTATGTCATGTGAGCTGTAATGCCGGCCAAAATTATTTAATATAATAAATCTTTATTATAGCGTATTATTTAATAAAAGTAAAAATTACTTAATCACAAATTCACAATTTATTATTAAAACATATTAACTGGAGCTTCTAAAGTCTCATTAAACAAATCAAGTAACTTCCATTTAGCCAATGGATTATCTGCTGGATGAATACTTTGTCCACCTATTTAAAATTCATATGTTTCTTCGCCTATAACTTCTGTATTATTTATATTAATTTCTGCATTAACCATTTTAATCCAATCTTCAATTATTTTAGTCCATTGTTCAGAATTAATATTATCACTATTATTAGTTTTTTCAAAGGTATCATTAACATTACATTCATCAATAACAGAAGTTTCTTCTAGTTCTTCAGTATCACTATCGTTAAAAGCATTAAATGTGAAATCATTATCATTTGTGTCTTCTTCATCTGATTGGTATTCTTGGATTAGTTCAGCAATATGTAATCGTTTATATTGTCGTTCAGAAATTTCTATATCATCACGTTTTCTTTTACATAATATATCACTTCGCAATTGAGCCATAGCCAAAACTTTCTTATGCTACAAAATTAAAAATGTATAATCTTTTGTTAATGTGATTTTGCATAATATAAATTTTGGTAAAATACACTTACATGTAATTTATTTCAGCGGGTTGAATGTAAAAAACCCATATTTGACCAAAGACGTTCCACTGAAGCTGCATTAACGCAGATCCCAAAAAGATGTAAAGCTAATTTTGAGAGTTCAGGTGCCAATCCTTTGGCAGATTCCCAGAAATCAATAATATTTTCTTCAAACTGATTATAAGTTTCAGAATTAAAAGGAAAAAGCTCACGTTGATATGATAAATAATCACGAAGGATTCTTTTTGGTGTTTCATTAAACCATGCTTGATAGTAATATATAAGCCATTGTCCAAAATGTGTATAAGAAATATTTTTAGCAGAAGAATTAAATTTTAAAACTCGATATTTTGGATGAAGAACAATTGAAAGTAATAGTAATGGCTGTTCCCACTGTGCCCAGCGTGATTCTAATCTTGCTATCATGCAATTACCAAATTCTACGTTTTTGTGAGAAGAAAATATTTTAATTATCCAACCAAAGCAGTGTGCAATTTCATATAGGCGCGCAATATCCTTTTGTAATTTATTTAATGCGCTGCATATTGGTAATAATAAATTTTGAAGTTCAAATAGTTGGATCCAAAATTCTGGATCATTAATAATTTCAATTATGTCTGAAGGGAGACATTTGTTTTCATTATTTGAATTAGTTCTATAACGTTGACGAGATACTCCAGCTCGAGAAGTACTTGGAGTTCCAATACGTTCAGGAGAGCATTTTGTTATTAAAGTCTAAAAAAATTAATAAAACAGGTATAAAAATTTTATTTATTGATTTATTGAGCAACTTGCCAAAATTATAATTCTCACCTTTAATGCTGCTTCTGTTTTTAAAATACTGTGAAAACAAAAGTAGTAACTATTCCAGCGTGTTTCCCCTGGAGTTATCAATGCTATTGTTTGACCATAGCATGAAGTTTGTTCATTTCTTAACAATCCAGTGAAATAAGGAGAGGAGTGAAAATAACTAACAATACGAACTGCATTTTTTGATACTTGCTTGTATTGAAGTGATTCTTTAAAAATATCTCCTACAACCAAATTCATCTGATGGGCCATACAAGGTAAAAATACCTTACTTGGATATTCTACTCTTAATTGACATCTAAAAAAGCAAAAAATTAAGATTTTATTAATAATATTCTATACCATAAAATATATAATATAAAATTGTACTCACCTTGCTGCAGCATATTCTCCAGCTGAATCAGAAACAAAACAATTGATTTTTATTTGTTTCAATTCGGCATTATTCATCAAATTTTTAATTAACATTTTAACATCTTCAGTTTTAGATCGTTGATCACTAATATCCTTAGCTCCCCAAATTAGTGTTTTACCAGATGAAGTAATAAGTACAACCCCAAAAAGATGTTCTTGTTTAACATTTGTCCAGCCGTCAAAAGCTGCAGTAACACCAATTGCATCACCTTTTGCCTGCTCTACAATTGATATAGATAGTTGGTTTGCAGATTTAGAAAGAATACGATTACTGATGGCATGACGTCCTGGAAGTTTCAATGCTGGAGCAATAAATCTAAAAACTTCTTGTGTTTCTTTATTTTCCAGAAATGTAAATGATAAACCATTTGATACCATCATTAGTAATACCAGATTTTCAAAATGAGGAATGTCTTTCTTAGAAAATGGCCGGGATACATATCCTGATAAGGTTGATTGTTTAATAATTGAATTAGATGGTGCAGCAGTTGTAGATTTATCAGTTTCCATCTCACTTTCATTTATTATTGCTTGTGTTTTATTTTTTTTCTCATCTTCAGGTACTTTACGTGATAAAATTTCTTCTCTTTCACTCTCATGATATTCATGAGCAAAAATTTCACATTTTTTCAGATGATTAAGGCATAATAATGCTTTATTAGATAAGAAACATTCAGGTTTAGAAATAGCAATAGGTAAAGTATGTTTTCTTATACAAGAAAAACACACTGCTTTTTTATTTGCTTTAGGATTATCTGGTGTACATAAATAAAAAAATTCACGAAAATTATGCTTTTCTTTCATTTTAATTTTATACAAACTCGTATATATTGAAATAAGAAATTTGTTATGAAAAATAATGACGAAAAGCGAGAATCACAAAAAAGATCGATAAATCTTAGATTTAAAAAACAAATAATAATAAATTGTTAAATTTCCAGATTAAATAAATATCACACACTTGTCATTCCATTTTTGGATATCATCAATTTTAAGTTATGCTTTTTGGAGTTTCGATCAACAAGTTATTATGAAATGTGCCACTAAATAGATTAATCATCATAATGACAATCATAAATGATATTGTCACTTAGAAATGACATATGTCATTTTGTCATTTGTCATTTGCAAATGACATTTTTTTTAAATGACATAATTTCTTATATCATTTCAATGTCATTTAAGGTCATTTGAAATTTGGTCAAATGACAATGTCATTTAACATCACTGCTCCAAGGTGATTATACCTTTTGGCTCCCGTTTCCTAAAACTAAATTTACTCAGATCGTTGCTCCAGATGACCTCAAAGATGTCATCGGTTCCGTTGTATCTCCGACTATTAGTGATGATATTCTACCACCTGTTCTTGATAATTATGATAATGTGCCAGCGCATTATCTTTCGTTAATTCTGGATAAACCCTTTATGAAGGCAGCTTACATAATCAACCTTATTCCAAAAGAATTAGAAAACATAATTTGAAACCACTTACAGTTGGCAGTAATGCTTGGCTATCCCATATGAAAGAAATTTATGACATTTATGTCGAGGATATGAAATATGAACAAGGCAAGACTGATGCTGGGCTTCGATGGGATACTACTTCTGAAAAAGGTATCTATCAAGAGGGTCTTTGTAATATGTTGATGGAATACACTACCGCTCGTCACGATTATGAGTTAAAATTACTAGAAGTCTCATCTAATACACAGACCGTGCCTGTATCACTCAAGAAAAGCGAACAACGCAAAAGAGAAAAAGAATTACAAAAGAAAATTCTAAAAGATAACGAAATCTTAGAACGTTTACGTGATCGAGTAGATGCTATAGATCACGCTATATATACTGAATATCATCAGGAAGAAGTAGGTTTGAAATTTGAGCCTTGTGCCATCATGAACGATAGACCGCTTGTATGACGTGCCAATGATAATGGCAATTTAGATATTCATTACGGCCTCCATATAAATAAAAAGGTTTGTATGATATCCACCTCAAAGGATTTGGTAAAGAGTTCGTCTGACAATACTATTTAGTACCCGTTCATTACCACACTTCATAGATTTTTTTATATATAGTTTCTATTTTGTACATGCTTATTAGCATTTCGGTTCATTTTTTTGTTAGATTTTTTTACCAACTTAAAATAGTGTAAATCATTCCACCTCTTACAGTATTTACAGGTGGCAACCCTATGGGTTGAAAGAAAAATACGGATTAGTGCTCGTAATTTAATTGTTTTTTTTTTCTACCGGTAACTGGTCCTTTATCGGTAGTGGTATGGGAACAGTCTATATTAGAAAAGTTGTTAGAGTTCATCTTGTTCTTGGATGGATGATGGAATATATGTTGGACAAGGTCTTTTAGATTCTATGTCCTCTTTGATAAGTCCTACCAAACTTCACATAAAATAAATAAATAAATTTTGCCTAAAATGTTTTTTAAAAAGAAAAGTCTTTGAAAGTATTCTGAAACACACCTCCAGGGTTCTAATAACAAAGGTGGGGCTAGTGTTTTATGAAAGAGATGAACAAAAATGTTATTAAAATATCTTTTTAAATTTAGTTTCAAAAATTATTTTGAAACTCACATTTTCTTTTATAATTTACTGTGAAGTTCTAAGATTTTTGATTCTTGGTACTCATCTTTAATTTGACTTGATTCAATTCAACTTTCACAATACCCTACGAAATCTTAGGCTTAGAAAAGGTATATCAATATCTAAAAAAGAAAAAAATGAAATGTTAGTAAAACGTTTTGCAAAAAAAAAATCATTTAAAAAAAACCTCCAATCAAATCTCATCTTCTCATCTAGAAAAATCACCTATAACAAAAGAATTAAATTCGAAAAACATATAACCCCAATTTTTTGTCCCATGTGTCCATCCTGTCTAAAAAAAAGCAGAGAATAAAAACTTACCAAAAATGAAATCACACATGTCTGAAGAACTACCTGAAAAAAAATGAACTGTATGTTAGTGTTACAATCTGTGAATAATCCATCATCCATCATCCGTCATTTTCAGATATCCATGATCTGTCTTATCCGTATGTACAAATATCCAAAATGATGGATATCCAAAAATGACGGATATCCAACGATGGATACGGATGGAGGATTGACGGATTGGAACACTACTGTTCAAATTTTTTTCTAAATCTTACAAAATGTCGCATAGGAGACTGAGGGAGCCGCCTAAAAAAAGAAGAAAAAATTGAAATGTTAAAATGTTTTATTATAGTTATAGAATTTGATTTTGTTTGTGAGTTTTCTTCAACTCTTTTTTAAATAAAATATGAGAGAGGAAGGAAAGGATGAGGGAAGAAAAATGAAATTTATCTTTTTGCAAAAAAAATTAAAAATATGATGGTTAAAAAACCGTAAAGAAAAATAATATTTTTTTAAGCAGCTGAAATGTTATTTCCCCATTCACCACCTATTTATCACCTATTTAATAGCATTTTACAACTTTGTAAAGATATGTTATCAACAATTTCACGAGATCATTTGATACCATATTGTCATATATTGGATAATAGATCGTTGTGATTTGATGGCGATTTCTTAACGGCATGGTAACAAATCATGGGTTTCTGTAAAGTTTAATATCTTTGAAAAATTAAGCTTTATTTAGTTTCTAATCGTTTAATAATAAACTATATATTAATCCTTACTAAAAGACTAATTTCTCTAATTATTGGTAAGCGAAGTTTCTTTGACAGAATATTAAAATATTTATACGGAAAATTACAAAAAATATAATGGTACATAGTATTCAATAAGAATAATATGCATAAATTGTTACATCTCAAACATCAAATTTAGGACAAAGAATTCATTTAATAAAAATAATAAAAGTTTCTTGATAACCACAACCCTGTAAAAAAAGTCAATCCATTTTTTTTATTGTAAAAGGCTCATATTTCCAGAATTAATACAGAATTGATCGAATTATTTACATTTCCGTGAATGAATCCATGAAAGGCTCATTTTTACAGAGTTTTTACAGAAATAACGGATAAAATTTTTTATAAAGCAATAATAAATAAATGAGTAAAATGACTTTATTTAGAATAAGTTAATTTATAAGAAATTTTACTGTATATAAAGGAATATTCCTATTGACTACCAAACAATTAATCAATTTTCTTTATATAATTACGCAAGTTAATCTTTAAGTCATCAAAACTTTGAACTTTAATATTATATAACTTAAATTCATCCACTTCATCCTTAAGTGAAATCAATTCCTTAAATGATATAGAATTCTTAATAGCCAAATACTTAACCCTTTTCTTTTTCATGATATATTCTTTTATAGAGGGCAAAATAGTATTAAATAGATTTTGGAAATTTTCTATCACCAACTTTTTAATAAAAGTATCTTGAATATTTTTTAGAAATAATTCAAAATCATTTGTTTTAACATGATAAATATTCAAACATAAATATTCTAATTTAGAAGGGAGAATTTGTCCTAAATCCTGTAATATGATTGAACTATATCCGCCAGTTTCAGTATATCCATACCATACATCAAATGAAAGATAATTAATACTTAGTTTAATATTTTCAATTAAATTGAGTAATTGATAAATAATCTGCCTTTCACATCCATAATGAAAATCAAGAAATTTGATATTTTTACAATATTTTGTAATTAATTCTAATAATTGATGTTTTGATGATAATTTAAAATTAACTTCAAGAATATAGCCAAAATTTTCTAAATAATCACCAGATTTTTGTAATAATAATTCTAATGATTCAACTTGTGATATATCATTCATAAATAAAGATTTCAACTTAAATGGTTTAGTTAAATTAATAATTTGTTGAATAAAACTAGTATTTAAACCAAAACAATAATAAATATGAACAGATTCCAAAACATTTAATAGTTCAAATACTTTTTGTAGATTTCTAATACAATTTAGGTTAACATAATGGAAAATGATTGTATTTAAAGTATTTGAACAATTAAAATATTCTGATAGTAATGACTGATACAAAGGAATGCAATCATAGTAGTCTAACATAATTTTTTTTAGATTTTGGTGTAATTTAATTATTTGTGATATACGATTATTCATTAATGTATATTTACCAATATAAGAACTACCAAAATAAAGGTTTAAATTTCTAATATTATGAATGAAATTTGGATTTTTTAAAATTAACTCAAGAATATTATCAATACATGTAAGATAATAATCAAAACCAGATTTTTCAATTTCAAGAGTATGTAAATTTACTTCATTTTCAATAATAATAATTCTAAATATTGATACACATATAAAACTCAATTTTTCAAAATCAGTCGTTGCTAGTTGTTTACGTATACCAGTAGCAGATTTAAACCACTTCTCAACTAAATAAATAAATTCATATATATTCAAATATTTTAAAAACCTGGGATAATTGAACAGTATATTCGAAGGTAATGAATTATTAACAATTTTATATTCATTTAATTTTGTGTTAAAATCATCATCATTTAAATTATGTAAGTAAATTTCAATAAATTTATAATTTTTTGTAGGAATTGAAAAAGGATTTTCCCATAATAATGGAATCGCTAAACGACACCATAATTTGTTAACTAAAATGCATGAATATAAAGTTGAATAATCATTTTGGAGATATTTTATGATTTCATATATTAATTCTGGTAAATCTCCTGAAAATATTTTTGAACATGACATTGGAAATGAAAAGTGAAAAGAGAAGGTATCAAAATTTTATTGTTATGCCAAACTGGGTAAATTATTCGGAGGGATGATTCCGATATTGTCACACAATTCATGTGTGTAACGCTACTAACGTTGTAAAAATCAGGTGTAAGGATGATCATCACTATTCACTACCACCCAATTCTGGTCAAAATTATAATTGGCTAGAGTTTAAAATCACCGGCTAAATCCTTAAATTTTAATTTATATGATATTATATAATAAATTTACGATCATCATCAATGTGACAGTCGCCACCTAATGACCTAACTCGGTAAAATAATCCTGCCGGTGTAAGACCTACGCCCGTAATAAACTACATTGCCACCGCAGTATTAACAAAAATGATGTTTTATTATTACACAAATATAATGTAATGCTTGGTTTAATAAATTAATAACAATGTAATGCTAAAAATTATAAAAATTGAATTCTAAAAATCCACTTTTTGTTAATCAAAATATTTTCCCTTTTTATAATCAAATGATTTTCGTAAAAATAAATCCTAAGTGTTTTGAATTTCCCTTTTTCTTATTTTGCCAAAATGATTTTCATCAAATAAATCCTAAGTCCAAAAATATTTCCTAAGTGTTTTACCTTTTTCCCTTTTTGATGTTTTTCAATTTGACTTTTTCAAAATTTTACCCTTAGCAAACCTTTTCCTCTCATCATCAGAATGTCAAAAATATCATTTTCCACTTTTCATAATTATCAACTTTTCTTTTTTGATCTTCGAACCCTTTCCTAATTTAGTAATCCAGGACCCAGAAATATATATATAGGGGTCAGGTGATGAAAAAATTTTTTTACTATGAGCTGTAAGCATTTTTTCAGGGCCGGAATTATGATAATGTTAGCCAGTTACTATAATAAGAAATAAAATTCTGACCGGCATTATCAAAAATTATCTAATAAAGGAAAGATTTTCATGATTTTTTTAGTACAAAATATGCAAACTCAAACCTGACCCTTTTATATATATTTCTGGGTCCTAGTAATCCTACGACCCCAATTTCCATAAAAATAAATGTGAACAGAAGAATAGTTTTACATGTTACACTTGTAACGTCCCACTTAAACTAAATATAGTACTGCGCCCACAATTAGTAAATTCACTAAGTAATTCTGACATTACACCGGTAAATCACTAACGATCTAAATAAATTTTATTACGTGGTCAATAAGAAGCGGCGTAACAGAATTTATATTTAGTCGAACGCTTCGGACGGTAAATTTACCTGCAAAATATTATACGAAAGTTTCATCTTGTTTATAGCGTTGCATGGAATCTAATCTTGGATGAGATTTTCAATTTTACAAATAATAATTTTCGAGAATTTGTATTTTACACATGGTACGCAGTGTGCACTCTCATACATCGTTACACAGTGGAACTTAGTTAGGATTCAACTTCAAACTTCTTAGTATATCATCGATTTTTGGGAAAGATTTTCCAAATGGTACATTTTCTTTACGATATATCATATATACATTATATATATATAGTATATATAATAAATACAAATGTGTTGTATTCAAAATATGCTTATAGAAACAATAAAAAAAAAAGAAATTTCTTTAAAAAGTTAAAAGGTTTTGGTCAAAATGAAAACTTTATTTTTTTTTTTACAAAAAATAATTAATGTTTAATAAAATTTAATATAACCGTTAACTTTAATTAAAAGAAAAATAATAATAAAAAAAAAGGCTTCGGCTGAACAGGTTTTAGCCAGAAAGTTGGTGGTTTTTGATATCCATCAAACCATCCGGCCGAAAATGAGTTTTTTTAAAAAAAAATATTTTTCAACAGGGTTTATACAGTATTAACTGCATCAATCTAATCTGATCTAATCCTAAAGGTGAATAAATTAGAAATAAAAAGCAAGGAATCAAATCAGAAAAATATCATAACATTGCAGCTTCAATATAACCATCGATCCTAATCTAAACCTTGTAAAAAAAATATAAAATAAAATCGGCACTTACCGTACACCGCAGATTATCAAGACATCAACCCTTACAGTAACACTGCAACTTTGATCCGATTATCAATTCAATTTAAGCCTAAATGAAAATAAAGTTAGTAAAAAGAAATGATAAATAAAATAAATCATGTTTTACTGTAGCATTGCAGCGTCAATCCGATAGGCTGATCCCAATCCTAATTTTTTTTAAAAAATTTTTATAAATAAATAAATTAAGAAATTTCATTTTTTAATTAAATTCAAAAATTTTTTTTCTTGATATTAAAAAAAACAAGATATTTAGAGCTTTTATGTAATAAACAAATAATAAAAAATGCTATTTTATATATTTATATGGTTTCAATACAAAAAAATTAACTATGGGGACGAATTCCCCTATATGGCATATGGCATAATGCTAGTTACCACATTATATGTCACACATAACACACCATGCATTTTTGTGCGCGACAAATTTATGCTAAATATATAATTGTATAAAAAGATTTATGTTTTGATGCTTCCACATTTATACATTTTCATTCTTCTGTTTTAAGATCTTTTTTTTAATAGTTAAAGAAATTTTTATTTGTAAATAAATATTTTGCGCGTTTTTTTTAGTCTATATGAAGTTACATAAGGAATCGATAATAAAAGAAGCAAATAAAAAAAGATTTTAACATTGAACAGATCTTGTATTACATATGTGATTATAAACAAATAAAAATATTATAAATAAACAAAATTTTTATAAACAAACAAAAGTTAAAAATCTATGAGATCCAGCCTCACTGAAAAAAATGTAAAATACGGGTTACTTTCAGAAATTCAAAACAGGAACAAATAATAAGAAATTGAAAATATTATGTACTTTTTGTAGTGTTAATGTCCAATACCACAACTTGGTTCACCCGGTGGAGTGTATGTAGGGCAAATAGGTTCTTCATCTCTTTTTTTAACGGTTCTCGAAGAAGTATAATCTCTTTCTTCAATAGTTTTTGTGGGAGCTGCTAGGGAAATAACGACAAATGACAAGAGGATTGCGAGAAGAAAATTTAATTTCATGATGTCTTAAAGAAGAAGGAAGTGTTTTATGGTATGGGATTTTGAAAGTTGGTTTGAAAGTTTATATAAATTAATGTATTTATTTTTCTATTTTTTTGAGAATGAAGATGGAAATTCGCTCGATAAAAATCTGAGGATATTTATATTGTCGAATTGAATGATCTAATGATCATTAAGAAGTTTTTCTATTGCCATAACTAGATATTTCCGGTAACTACTTCAGAATTGGTCGATTGCCATTTTGATCACAAAAACTAAAAACCAACCAAAATTTACGATCAAAGTTCGAAGAAAAGATGATTGATTGATCGTGATTATCGATCAAAATGACCTACGTTTTTTGGTGATCACGTTAATCGGTTAGTTGAGTTAAAAATTTATTGGTCAAAATTTTTGTGTAACCGATCAAAAAATCACGATCAATCAATTCTGAAGTAGACGCAAACTTTATATAATCAATAAGATGCACTAAAAGGTCTCAGTTGTTTACGTCGGACATATCCAATAACAATATTTAATTAATTTGATTTTACCATAATCAGATATTACCGATAATTAATTTTATTTGATCAATTTGATTTTGCCATAATCAGATATTTCCGAGAATTAATTTTATTTGATCAATTTGATTTTACCATAATCAGATATTTCCGATAATAATTACGGTATTGTTTTAATTTCCTTTTTGAATTCGGCGCCGGGAATTTTGACTTTTATGGGAAGATTGTCCATCGGTTTTATAGAAGATCTGATCTGCACTCTAAAATTTTTGCCTTTGTACTATTTCTAAGACCAAATTAGCTAAATAGTTCTGAATTGTCTGATTGGATTAAAACCGGTCAGGACCGGTAACCATCTTTGGTAATATGTAATTTAACGTAAAAATGTTGATTGGTGTATTACTAATAATTTAATAATGGACGATCAAAAAAATTTTTATTCGTCCGAAACAGAGCGGAGGTCATTTACAGTATATTCCACCAATGATCATTTATTATACAGGGTTTATCTCATTCATTGTCATATGAATTATTATTTTTAACCATAAGATGGTCCATAACATTTATACAATATATTTAGCAAAATAGGTAGTTCTGTGGACCAATTGGAAAATAGTTTTCCCAGTATGATCAACTTGCAAATAACAACGATACCCAATATTACCAATCAAAATACATCTGACGAATTTCAGGCACCAAATGTCAAAATTGGTGAACCTAGTTTTATATTATTACACCGGAATACCCGATTAATGGAACCTCCTTAAACTCTATTGTTAGGATGATTAGAAATTTAGAATGGAGTTCCAATTATCATGTAGATTATGCAGGGACAAGAATAGATACATTTTCATATGTACCCTTATTAGAGTAGGTTTCTTCAACGAGGTGACTAGAAACTCATACGTCAATGTAGTAGAGGGTTCAATAAAAATACAATTTTATTTTGGATAGCGAAGGAGAAAAATATAACCTGCCCAATAAAAAATTTTATCCGTTATTTCTGCAAAAACTCCGTAAAAATGAGCCTTTCACGGATCCATTCACAGAAATGTAAACGATTCGATAAATTCCGCGATATAAGGTTATTAATTCCGAAAAAAGATGAAACGGATCGACCTTTTTTATATGGTTGTAGACGTTCCAATTTTGTATATGATGTTCCAATTGATTTACCGTTAGAAGAAATAAAAAAACTTTTTGAAACAAAATTTGAAAAAAATTTTAACATATCGGTTAAGCTCCATAAAGGAGCACGCCACAACTCAACATCTTCTAATAATGGAAGTTAACCGACTCCCAAACAAACTACGAAAACTTGAGTTATAGAACTCGGTACAACTAAAACTAATACTATTATTAAAGGAGATATATGGATCCTAAAAAGAGGATCATATAACTTTTGAATAGTTCCGGCCAACATCTCATCTAATGAATACAAACAAGATACTATAATCAACAAACGATTTTCGATAAAAGTAAAATCAATTCATCTATTACTCAATTAGAAACACAAATTAAATCACGTCAAATAGTTTTATATTTTCATTAGAAAGTCGATCTAATCCTATATTAAGTCGAGACCATATTTTGGTTTACAAGATTTGTATATCAAAATCATAATATTGTTGGTAAAAGCAAGCAACATTCATATGGAAAGAAAATCATTAATAGAGAAACTTTTGAATTAGAGGAAAATGAAGTATTTTAAGTTATTAGATAATAGATTACCTACCTTTATATTAATTAGGTTTCAAAATATTATTAACCGAGCGCTCATAATGATATTCCGAAATATTTTACTTATTATTCTTATAATTCTTATAATTATGTGTTTATACTGGCTTTATTCTAGAGGTACTAGGAGTTTACCAACAGACATCCAAATCGTTCAAATCGTTACAACCACCGAAGTCCGATTTAAACTGACCTAAACTGATTATTATACAGTACATCACCCTAGTTAGTATTTTAAAATAAGTGATATTTTTGGTATTTTATTTAATTTATTAAACCATTAATAAAACCAGGGAATGGAAACCATTAGGAGTACGGAGCGTGATCAGGGGTCATTTTTTCTAACAAACGGAAAATCTCACGTGACTGTTCGATTTTTACCGCTTCGCTCTGGACAATTAACTACGAATAGAATTTTCGAGCAAGTGAAGTGGCTTACTGTGCACCATTGGCCATTGTACAATAATTATCTCGGCAATGATTTTTCGAATTATTGTAAATAGACTTACCTTGACCAATTTGATTGTATACATCTTGTACTTCCCAAGAAGTGATCTGTTTCCGACCGTTAATCTCGTCATTAATAAATTTAATAAGTTGTGTACTCGAACCTAGAATCCAATGATCAATACCTTCGTGATGGAAATTCCTGATCAAGAATGTTAGTAATAAAATAATAAAGAAGAGGTAATAACAATTCCTTCCCAATGTTTGATACTCATTTCATGCTAAGGTACAATTATATCTATAAAATTTCCCATTTATAATACCAAGATCAAGCATGTGCTAAGCTTTCCTTAAATTTTCTTTAACTGTTTCGGAAAAAAGTGGGTGAAAACATAAAAGCTGGCTCTCAAAAAGTGCGCAAATCTGCTGGAGACGTACCCACGGACAGATCAGTACAAATGGCGAACTGCCTGCAACTTGCAATGACACGTAGCCCTGCGTTCATGTGCGAAAAGGAAATAAAGAAAAAATTCATTTTTTTAAATCTACGGTATATGGACTAAGTAATGTTACAATCACATCATTAATATATAATAAAAAGTATTGAGTGTACCTAATCATAAGTATCCTATGATTTCGCTTCGGACAATAATTTAAGTTAAGCAAAAATTCGGTTAGTTTGTTAGTAATGATGTAATGATATACGTACTGAAATAGTATATAAAATTTGACATTATATACAAGATTACGTGAGAAATATGTTTACATGACTCATCATGGTTAAGTAATAATATATAAAATAGTCTCTTTTTTCTCTTTATTCTCTTTAACGCCTCTCTCCTTTCTCATTCCTTCTCGCTTTTCTTTTCTTTTATTTTTTTTCTTGTTAAGTATGGTAAAAGGTAAGGTACAACCAACCCTCTTCTCATTTTAAGCTGTAGATACGACCAACTCCACGTTAAAAATTTTAAAATGTTAAAGCCATACTTAAGCAAATTATAATAAAATTGAGTAGAGAACCCTGTGTTTATTGCTCGATCGTCTTTCCCACATTACGTATATATACGTATGTATTTTATGTATGTATGTACATAGTACGTATGTAAACCAAATAATTTGATGGGGGAATGAGAAAGCTTATTTTTGATTTTACAAAAATAATTTCTTTCTTGTTCTGATGCACATGTGCATTTTTTTTATTTGTTTGATTTTTACGTCTTTTATAATTTTCTTTCTTGTTTTGATGCATATGTGCATAAGTAGTAGTATCTGAGACCAGAACATAACTAAAAAAACACAGTTTACATATAGAATTGATAAAGTCAGTCTGCAAATGTTGTTATGTTATACAGTATAGTATCTATATGTCCGAACTTCTCTGCTCAATTTTTGTTCTTAACAACCCAAATATTATTATTTTTAACCCTATTAAATATAAACTGGTTGTAACAGGTAAGTGGTTTCTTTTTACCTGAACGAAGCTTGCCACTTCTACGTGGTGTTTAGGAGAAACAGTTGTAGATTAATAACTGGCCAAGAGCAAGCATTATTTTATTTACATATTTTGCGCCATTTGTATTGAATGTTACATAAAAATACTTATTCATAATAATAGCATCATGTTGCGTATAATGGATCGTAAAAATCAAAAAAAGAAATATGAGATTTTCAAAGTTTGAGTTGGAAATTCAGCGATAATGGCGTCATAGCTCTTTTTTTCTTAAATAAAAAAAGAAAAAATCATTAAAGACTGAAATCGATGACTTAGAGAATAAACAAAAACTATAAGATAAAATCAATATTCAAAACACAATTACGATCGATAAGATTAGTAACATCATCGCAAATAATTAGATGAACAAAAATCAATGAAACAGACGTTATTGAATGATAATTCCAAATTAAGAACCAAATAATAACGACACTAAATCTCCCAAAAGACATGCACCTCAGATTCGGACAACGATCAAACTACGCCAATGATGCCACCCCAAACAACATTACCAACAAATACTCACCTGATTCTAGCAAAAAGAAAAAATATGTTATCCAATAATGTGATACCAATATTATTACAGATGCATCAGATGCAGAAAGTTTACCCATTCAGAGTTTGGAAGAACCCTCTTATTACATGGATAATTCGCAATTAACATTGCGACCCAATAGATCAATGATACACCCAATATGAATGAAGACTTAGCCTCAAATTACTCTTACATGTTGAATTTAAGTTTCTTCGGTCGGAGGTAAAATAATGACACATCACTTTCCGGTTTTATTAAGGATGCCCACTATCATTTTAATCCAATTTGGTTTATTTTACACTTCTAATACTTATATACATATCTTTCATGAGTACAACAGATTTTTCACATTAACCTTAAATAATTCTACTCATTATGATATTGATGGTTTAAACATCCTAAACGCCCTTAATCACGCTACCTCATCCATCTATCGATAGAAAGAGTTCCTATATACATATATATTTGTGATTGTAAATCATATATTTGTAGATAAATAATTATAGAAATTAATTAACAAAAAAAAATTGTTTTGACTTTTATCATTTTCTTTTGAAAAAATTTATATATTCATCATTTTTTTAATGATTTTTTTACAGATAGATTACACTATAAGGAAAGCCATTGGAGTTTTAAGGAAAGAACCATGGAAATTAAAGTGATATCTTTTATTCCAAAGGATAATTCTGTGCCTGTATTTGAAACTGGAAGTGTTTTAAGATTTACAGGAAAATTTTCTCTCATCCATCATAATATGCTATTAGAAGTAATCATTTATTAGTTAATTTATTTAGATAACAGTGAATGTAGGTGATCTTATAAACATCAACCAGAAAATATAAGTTTTTTATTACAATCTCACTTAGCAACAATATTTATTAATCTACTAAAATTATTTATTACTTTTTCAAAAAAAAAAACATTGTCAAAAAAAAAACAATTTTTTTGAACAAAAAAATTACCATCTAAATATGTATGATCCCCGTTGCAAATACGAATATTGTTTAAAAAAAATACAGTATTGCTAGCTTCCTTATAATTTTTTATTTCTAATAGCTTTTTTTTTTAAAGTATATTTTATATACATATATATATGTTGTATGTGGTTTCTGAATACCGGTGGAAATCGGATCTTGGCCAGCATTACGAAATCCTACTATGCTTTAATTCTGGTCAACATCCCGTATCCACATATGTGGATCCAGAATCCACATAGATTCCGTTTTCACCTACAACATATATATTAAATAATAGTATTATTCCATACCAAATTTTTTTTTTTATCATGATTATTTAATCTTCAAATATGAATCAGATCAAATATTTATATATGTAAAAAAATTTTATGAATTCCATTACCTGGGATTATTTGAGTGTTCTTTTTAATAAAACCTTAATAAATTGATTTATTAATCAAGAAATGATAAATTATCTAATTCTTTACAATATATTTGCTAAATCAATAACCAATATTTTAAAAATTGTCTGTACTACGATTCCAGTACGATAATTTAGTGAACGATCGTCTCAAAATTCGAAAGGAAACCTACAGTATGTGTGCTTAGCACGCTCCATTCACTCCAAGATCAAGCATATGTATTCAGAAGCAGTCGCTTCATAAATATTGAAATCATCAAATTTTCAGAAAAATTAAAATTTATATGAATCGAAAGTAGTAAATATATGTAAAATTTCCCCTGTATAAGCACACATATATTGGCAAGGAAAAAAATTATCACATATTTAATAATTAGATAACTTTAAGTATAAACTACAAAAAAATATTTTTTAATATTACATATATAATTATACAATTAAACTCTCTCCAATAGGCACATCCCATTATAATCATACCATTGGGTGCTCTCAAGAGATGTTATTATAGAGAAGGTCAACTGTATGATAATAAATCATTATAGAAAATTAGATATATATGCAATAAGTAATACATCATAAAATTATTACGTCTCAAATATCAAATATAGGACAAAGAACTCATATACAATCACACTTGTTTATAATAGTGATTCAGATTTTTTTTTGTTTGATAAAAAATAATGATAACAAATAAATAAATACTTTATTTATTATTAGAATAGGTAAATTTATAAATAATTTTACATAAAAGAATATGATTCTATCTAATATTTTTTAAATTACTACCAAACAATTAATCAATTTCCTTTATATAATTATGCAAGTTAATCTCTAAACTCTGATAACTTTGCACTTTAATATTATACAACCTAAATTCATTCGCTTCATCTTTAAATGAAACCAATTCCTTAACTAATATAGATTCCTTAATAGCCAAATACCTAACCCTTTTCTTTTTCATGATATATTCTTTTATAAAGGGTAAAATATCTTGACCTTCACTGTTATTGATCAATAATTTATTAATAAAAGTATCTTTAGAATTTTTTAAAAACACTTCAAAATCACTTGCTTCAATATAATAAAAATTCAAACATAAATATTCTAATTTAGGAGGAAGTTTTTGCCCTAACTTTCGCAATATTATTGAACAACATTTAGGTCCAGTATTTTTATACCCTAAACTGATTGAAAGATAATTAAGATTTTGTTTAATATTTTCAATTAAATTGAATATTTGATAAATAATCTGACTTATAGGTACATAAAAATCAAAAAGTTTGATATTTTTACAATATTTTGTAATTAATTCTAATAATTGTTGATTTGATGATAGACCATTATTAAGTTTTGCAATTCCAAAATTTTCTAAATAATCACCAGATTTTTGTAATAATAATTCTAATGATTCAAGTTGTTGTATTTCACTTAGAAATAAAGATTTTAACTTGAATGGTTTAGTTAAATTAATAATTTGTTGAGTAAAACTAGCATGTAAATAATAACAATAAGCAATATGAACAGATTCCAAAACATTTAATTGTTCAAATACTTTTTGTAAATTGTTAAAACCATTTAAATTGACACGATGGAAAATGATTGTATTTAAAGTATTTGAATAATTATAATCTTTTGATAATAATAATGATAAATACAAAGAAGAACTATTATTACTTAACAAAATTTTTTTAAGATTTTGTTGTAAATGAATTATTTGTGATATCCGATTTTTAATTGATACATATTTACTACTATCGTCAATAGTAAAAAGATTTAAATTTCTAATATTATGAGTGAAATTTGCATTTTTAAAAATTAACTCAAGAATATTATCAAAACATGGTTGATAACAATTACCACAGATCTCAATTTCAAGAGTATGTAAAGTTATTTCATTTTCGATAAAAATTTTAAATAGCAATACACATATCTCGGCAGTAATAGTATTTCTAGAAATAGGTACTAAACATGATTCATTTTTAGGGGGTGAAGTTCTAATATCAGGATCAAACCACTTATCGACAGAGAAAATAAACTTAAATATGTTCAAATATTTTAAAAACCTGGAATAATTGAACAGTACATTCGGATATAATGAATTATTAATAATCTCTAAATCATATAAATAAATTTCAATAAAACTATAATTTCTGGCGGAAATTGAAAAAGGATTTTCCCATAATAATGGAATCGCTAAACGACACCATAATCTGTTAACTAAAATGCATGAATATAAAGTTGAATAATCATTCTGAAGATAATTTATAACTTTATACGCTAATTCAGGTAAATCTCCTAAAAGTATTTTTGAACATGACATATTACAATTTGAAGGTGCGTAAATTCTGGTATCTCGCATTTATTTCACAAACCGATTAAATACTTTTTTTTCTTGAAAACTTTCGTTGTACTCTTATTTATCATTATTCACCCTGAAAAGGAAGGTTTTAAATTTTTATTATTATGCCAAACTGGGTAAATTATATGATTTTCCGATATTGTCGCACAATTTACCGAACAATAAATATATAAATAGGTAAAAGGCCAGAATTATGTAATGCTTCCTGATATCATCCAAAAAAGGAAGGATCTACACACAATTTACCGCCTCGGCGTTGTTTGTGATGTAATACCTAAATCACGTTGCCACCATAGATATTAAAAAATAATACTTTATTAATATAAATAAATACAATAATATTGTTAAGCCAGTTCTTGTATGCTTATAAAAATAAGCGTATAGGTGTATGGTAAGCAGAAGGATAATTGAATAAAATAAGTGTTAAATAATATTAATGAACGAAAAGTGAAAATAACTATATGTAAATATTAATAAATATATCACTGTCGATCAATTTACGAAGGTTACACAATAAAATAAAATGTAAAATTCAGTCAAATGCGAATACGGTATTGCACACACGGGCATATACACTCAGACGCAATATTGACTCACAAAATATAACAATTATGAAAAATAAACAATAAGATAATTTATTTAATAAATGCTTTATTAAAATATAACAGAATTATCTATCTTAAATACATAGAAAAATAATGCATCTATTTATATGTAAAAACACTAAGCTAAAAATGTTTAAAATGTTTAATATATGCCATATATACCATATGTGCAATATGTGCAATATATGCCATATATTTAATATATTTGATATATTAAACATTTCGAACATTGATCCTCCCGTTATATGACGTTGATCATTCAACAATAATTAATCATCCCGGAAATTACCATTGATCAACGATTATATCACGTGACTTCGTCGCATTGTTTTTCATCGTAACAATATGCTTGGTTTAATAATGTTAAATAACAAATAAATAATTATATTAAAATTTGTAAAGTGCGATAGTTTCCCCATATTAGTAACCTTTAATTCCATTAATTTAATTAATGTGGCAATTTTTCATCATAAGAAAAATGCTAAAAGAATCGAATTATTATTATTATTAATAATTGATACTTAACCATTTTCTGAAATTTTCAAAATCGTAACTTAATTAATCTCATTTATGGATACTGCGCGTTATCTTATATTTAAATGTTTTCCTCAAATTATTTTAAACTCCCACTAATTATTTTGTACTTTTACACTTTTGCCACAAAATGTTTGTCCTAAATTACCTCCTGATATTCTAAATCACTTGATTTAATGATTTACTAGTTTAACGTCATTTTCGGACGTATTATCCTTTGTTCACCTGATTCATAGTTGCGGACCAATTAAAAATATAAAGTTAAAATACTAAAAATTTATATACTAATTTTAAATACAATACTGCGCCCTATAATTAATAAATTTACTAAGTATATCACGGCATTACAGTGATTAAGTTTAAGGTTCCGTTTTCGATGGTTTTCAATTCTTAAACAGCACTTCACACTTAATAACAATTTTTTTTTCTTTTTCTCTTTTTTTTTTAAGATTTTTATTATCGTACTGTACATCGTAACATGCCGGACTGACATCCGGACATTCATCAATTACACAGTAAATTAGGCATATTTTTCTTATAGTTAGCAGGCGCAATTGCCGATCTTTTTTCCACCTTTTTATATTGACCTCACTACCCTATTAAATTAATAAATCAATCATATTTTATTAGTAATTGCGGTAATTTTTTACTTTTTTTTTTTCTCCTTAAAAGAAGTAATTTTTTAATAATTTAATTACTCATTGTATTTATTTTTATGGTCAAAAAGACATGACACCGCACAAAAATAATTTTGTTAATTAAAAATTCGTCTTAACGAATTTAACGTATATTTAATAAATTTAATTTATTATTTATTTTATTTATTATTCTAATTTCATTATTTAAACATTTAATTTATAGAATTAATTATTTAACAATTGTAAGATAATAATTATTCAAAAACAAAGCTGCAGTAATGAAAAAACATATTAGGTATTACAGACCAGTTTTAGACAAAGTATGGACCGGTCCATCTATAATTTTTATTAATAACTAGGAAACGGAAACTGTTGTAAGTCCGAAGCGAAAAAATTTTGTACAAAAATTTTAATTTATTTATCTTTTTTAAACACAATCTTTTATACTTTTTCCAATTATCTGTATTTATAACTAATGTTGTTTAAATAATTAAGTTTTAAGCCATGTGATTTACAAGCAGCTTAAAAATATTTTATTGATTTATTTAACTACGCACATTTTTCTTATTACAGTAAATCAAGATTAACTAAAAAAAAATAAAAAATGATTAAGTTTAAACTATGTTCCTACAAAAAAATAATAAAGTTGAAACATTAGAAACATTTCTTTAAAGTCAAATAAATATAAAAACTCGCTCTTCCCAATTTACCTTTAAAAAGTCCAGTGTTTACAAAATCCTGGCGTCCCTAGAAAAAAAACAAGAATGAAATGTTAGAAACGTTTCTATAAAGTCAAACAAATAAAAAAATGCCTCTCCTCCCTCAATTTACTTAATTTGCCTTTAAAGTCCAATGTGTGCAAGAAATCCGGAATCCCTAGAAAAAAAATAAGAAATGAAACGTTAGAAACATTTCTTTAAAGTTAAACAAATAAGAAAGCTCCCTTCCTAATTTACCTTTAAAAGTCCAGCATGTACAAAAACCTGGCATCCCTAGATAAAAAAGGTAAAAAATGAAACGTTAGAAACGTTTCTTTAAAGTCAAACAAATAAAAAAAACCCTTCTCCTTTCAATTTATCTTTAAAGTCCGGTATGTACAATTAATCCGGAAACCCTAGAAAAAAAAAAATATGAAATAAATCGTCAGAAACATTTCTTTGAAGTCAATTAAAAAATATATGTACTGTACTCACTGTTCCAGTCCGCCGAAAAAGAAACATAAAAAAGATTATCAGGTAATCTTGTTTATCTAATATATTATAAACTTATTAATAATAATTTCAGATTTTTTTTGATTGATAAAAATAATAAAAATTTCTTGATAATTAATTACAATAAATGAATACTTTATTTAGAATAAGCAAATAAGTAAATTTATAAGCAACTTTATATAAAAAGAATGTTCATATCTGATATTTTAATTATTACCAAACAATCAATCAATTTCCCCTTATATAATCATACAAACCATCATAACTTTTCACTTCAATATTATATAACCTAAATTCATTCACTTCATCTTTAAATGAAATCAAATCCTTAAATAATGAAGCTTCCTTAATAGCTAAATATTTAACCCTTTTCTTTTTCATGATATATTCTTTTATAGAAGATAAAATTGATAAATTTTTTTGTAGAAGGTAAAATAGCTTGACCCTTAATGTGATTAATTAATAATTTTTTAATAAAAGTATCTTGAGAATTTTTTAGAAACACTTCAAAATCACTTGCTTTAATGTAAAAAAAATTTAAACATAAATATTCTAATTTAGGAGGAAGGATTTGTCCTAAATTTGGCAATATTATTGAACAATAGGCAGATACACAACTTCTATACTTTATATTGATTGAGTGATAACTAAGATTTTGCTTATTAATATTTTCAATTAAATTTAATAATTGATAAATAATCTGAATTTCAGATCCATGATTAAAATCAAGAAATTTGATGTTTTTACAAAATGTTGCAATTAATTTTAATAATTGTTGTTTTAATGATAAATCAAATAACTCAATATTGTTAACTCCAAAATTTTCCAAATAATCACAAGATTTTTGTAATAATATTTTTAAATGATTCAATCTGTGATATGATATCGCACATAAATAAAGATTTCAACTTAAATGGTTTAGTCAAATTATAATTTGTTGAGTAAAACTAGTAATTAAAGAACGACAATAATAAATATGAACAGATTCTAAAACATTTAATCGTTCAAATACTTTTTCTAGATTATTAATGACTTTAAAATCCACATGATAAAAAATGATTGTATTTAAAGTATTTGAATAATTATATAATCTTTTGATAATAATGGTTGAAACAAAGAAAAACCATAATAATTTAAAGAAGTTTTTTTAAGATTTTGTTGTAAATTAATTATCTGTGATATATTTGATATATATTTATTAATATGATTGTAATCAGAAAGACCATCAATATAAAGGTTTAAATTTCTAATATTGTAAATGAAATTTGTATTTTTTAAAATTAACTCAAGAATGTTATCATTACATGTGCGATGGTCATCAAGAATTTCAATTTCAAAAGTATGTAAATTTACTTCATTTTCAATAAAAGTTTCAAATAGTGATACACATATATCACTCAAATTTACTAGTCTATTTTTACTAATAGCAGATTTAAACCACTTCTCAATAGAGGTAATGAACTTATATATATTCATATATTTTAAAAAACCGGTATAATTAAATAGTATATTCGAAGGTAATGTTTTATTAATAATTTCATATTCATTTAATTTTGTTTTAAAATCATCATTTAAATCATGTAAGTAAATTTCAATAAAATTATAATTTTTTGTAGGAATTGAAAATGGATCTTCCCATAATAATGGAATCGTTAAACGACACCATAATCTGTTAACTAAAATGCACGAATATAAAGTTGAATAATCATTTTGAAAATATTTTATAATTTTATACATTAATTCAGGTAAATCTCCTGAAAATATTTTTGAGCATGACATTTTTGTTAACTGAAGTGAAAGGGGAGGTATTGAATTTTTATTATTATGCCGAACTGGGTAAAATTTAGTATCGATTTCGGAGTAATTGCGTGTAACATCACTAACGATGTAAAAATTAAGTGTAAGGATGATCATCGTCACTACCAGCTAATTCTGGTCAAATCATGATCGGCCAAATTTATATAATAAATTTATCAAATTTTTGGAAAATATTATAGCCTTTTTTCTCTAAAAAAAAAAAAAAAAAAAAAAAA